GTGGGTGGTGCCGTAGGCGTGGGCGGCTGCTGCTCCGGGCCTGGGCACAGCAAGCGGCGACGTCAAGCTCCTGGGGTTGGCGCGGTTGGCGGGGGCAGTCCCGAGCGTGAGGAGGTCGGCGCAGGCTACAACAGTGAGGACGAGTATGAGGCGGCTGCAGCACGCATCGAGGCTATGGACCCTGCCACTGTCGAGCAGGTAAGAGCTGCGGGATGAGGGGTGGGCGGCTACGGCAGATGGGACCCCCAGACTGTGAAGAGACTCAAGGAAGGCTGTTTGAGATCGCCCCAAGGGATTTAGGCGTTTTCACTGGGCCTGACAGTCTTCTCTGGTGGTAGGGGTGTGAGATGCCTTCTTTCCTCCCCTCCAGGGATTTGGGGCTAGAGGCCTACGATAAGGTGGCAGACTTAAAGATGGGATCCGAGGCCTCTTTTAGGGTCTGTAATCGTCATTTCAGTCCTTGGGACCTCATCTTGTAGGGCCAATAGGTGGGAATTCTCCAAGAGACACAGGTAGGATCGCGCCCCTCTTGAGCAGGAGTCTCAGGTCTTCCAAAAGACCTAGGTCTGTGTTCAGTGGCTTAAGAGCTCTTTTCCTTTGGGATAGAAGTTTGAGATTCCTCCTCCAGGAAAGTCAAATAAGGTGGGGACCTCAGAGATCAGGTCTGAACATCCCCAAGGAGCCTAAGCCCTTTCAAGAGTCTAAGACACTCTGCATGTAGGACAGTCCTCTCCTGCTTTGCTAGGTAACATGGCACAGGACCACTGAATAGCCAGACCTGAGACCTCAGGGGTCCTAAGTCTGTCTTCAGGGGCCTGAGAGTCCTTATTGTAGAATCAAGGTCCTGACACACACACACACACACACACACACACACACACACACATGTCCCCTTTAAGGACAGGGATCTTCTAAGCTTTTTCCAGGGATGTAAGACTTTTCGCAGGGAGATATGATTCCCTTGCCCGTGGGGACAGGGACCGAAACCAACACCCAAGGACCAGCAGCTTTACTTGAGTACAAGAGACTCATCCGCTTTCTGAATGACAAAGGTCTGCATTTCCTATCAGTGGCTGAGACCTACCTCTTCGGAGACAAGGCCCTGACTCTCTTCAGGATCTTAAGCTTCTTGTAAGAAGAGATGGGCCCTCAGCACCCCCACCAGGGGCCTGAACCTTTCTTCAGGAAAATGAAGACTCACAGCGTTGGATCCTAGGGCCTAAGATCCACCTGCTTATGGACTGAGGTTTTTAGAGACCGAGTCTGAGGCCTCTTCGGGGGCGTGGTGTTCTGCTGCAAAGGTCTCAGACAAGGTGAAGCCTTAGGAGATTCTTCTTCTCAAGACTAGTGTCTGAGTGGTTTTGGGAGTCCGAGACTCCCTACCCCACAAGCATATGTGACCTTTTTACCCCAATTATAAGGGACTGAAACATACCTTGGGGATACAGTATCTCATTTTCCCTTTTGTAACAGGGGTTTGAGGCCCTCCCCTCTTTGGGCCTAAGCTTCTTGTCAGGGATATATGACCCTTGCCTTGGGAACTTGAGCCTGAGACGACTACTCAGGGGACATGGGCAACATGGGATCCCAGAGATGATGTCTGGGGCCTCCCTACAGATCTCTGCCTACATTTAAGGGCCTGAGACCCACTCTGCCAAGGACACTTGAGCTTTCCTTCAGGGACGGGAGACTCATACATACCCTGGTGACTTGTGTGTCTAGAGGTAAGGTCTGAGCTTCCTCCTCAAGGAACTTAAGGTGTACCCCTGAGAAACAGGAGGACTCCTCCCCCGACACCTGAGCCCTGAGACCCTTCCCTTGGGGCATGGATAAAGGATCCCTGTGGAACAGGGTCCTGAGTCTACCTCCAAGGGTTTGAATCCTACCTCAGGTGTGCGAAGGCCTGTTCCCCACCTTAGGACCTGATTTCTGAACCTGTCCTTAGGGTACTGTCACCTCACCTCAGACAACATACATACACCCTAGTCATAGGGGTCATTTAGGGATGTAAGATTTCCTGCCTCGGGGACTTGGGCCTCAGATTCCCAATTCCTTTCGGGGACATGAGTAGGATTCTGAGGAAAAGAGTCTGGGCCCGAGCTTCCTCTCTGGGACAAGATATCGTTTGCCTTAGGAACTGGGGCCTGGCTCCCACTTGGGCATGAGGCTCTCCCCCTACCACACCAGGCATTCCTTTCTGTACCGGGAGAGGAACGTGAGGTCATCCTCTCCCATTGGACAGAAGGACCTGGATGCTCTTCAGGGTCATATGAACCCCTTATCCTGAGCTCCCTCGTGGCCAGGGCCAAGAAGATCCTCCTACTTTCTATGAGAAGATTGTCAGGTCCTGGGGACATGGAGTCTGGAGCCTCCCTTCTGAAACCAGGAGCGATTCAGAGTTTCTCCCTGACCTAGCTATGCTTGCTTCTCACCTCTAGATCATATAATAAGTTTTGAACTGCTTTTGACAAGCTTTTTTCTTCCCAGGGACAGGAAAGGGGTTTGGGACATCGCCACTCTGGGGAAATTCTCCTCCCACATTCCTTTTCCCCTTGGCTCAGGTAAATCTTTCTGTACTTCACAGGGGCCCCAAGCCTTGTCTTGAGCTCCCTGTTCTTGTTCCCTTCGTCCCATCATTAATTTTGGCACGATAAGCCATCTGTACTCAAGGGTCAGGACCAGTTATTTCTTCTCTCTGTGGTTGGGTAGTTTCTTTCCTTCTCTAGAAACAGGGAGCCATACATCCCTGGTTCCATCGACAGAGAGAAAGAACATCCTGTGCTGCCATGGTAACTCAAAAACACCTCCTTATGCCCCTTGCAGTCCCTCTCTTATACTTGTCCCCATAAGAACATGGGAGTAAGCCGGGCATAGTGGCCCATACCTGTAGTCCCAGCTACTCGGGAGGCTGAGGTGGGAGGATCACTTGAGCCCTGGAGTTCAAGACCTGTTTGGCAACATAGTGGGACCTCATCTTT